GTTCCGTGGTGTCCAAAAAAGTGAGATCGATAGTGAGATCGATAGTGAGATCGACAGGTGTCCCGTGGTGTCCCGTGGTGTCCCGTTGAGTGATATCGATAGTGTGGTCGATCGTGAGATCGATAGTGAGATCGATGTGGTGTCTCGTGGTGTCCCGTGGTGTCTTGTGGTGTCCCGCTGAGTGAGATCGATAGTGAGATCGACAGGTGTCCCGTGGTGTCCCGTGGTGGCCCGTGGTGTCCTGTGGTGTTCCGTTGAGTGAGATCGATAGTGAGATCGATTGGGTCAGATGTTGGTTCCCCCTCTCCCCTCCCACAACTTCCTTATCACCCGAAGGGTGGTCGTATATGTATACGTACATAGACGCCTAGATGCTTTGCCCCAGCATCAGGGGGAGATCTGTCCAGCCCTCCTGGCAGGGATGTCCCCAGGCTTCGCAGCCAGGGAACCCCCTTCACTCCGTCCTGGCGACGTGCCTCGTGAGTTGCGGACCGAACGAGTGCGTGTCCCAGCCGCAGTTGGGCGGGAGGGCGGATGAATGATAAACGAGCACAGTGTGTTGCGTGCCCCACCCGCTGTTGGGCGGGAGGGAGGAGAAATGAACAGCAAACACTGTTAGGCGTGGACCGAGTACATCAGCAGCGCGGGGACGTGACACCCCGAGCCCGACTCGACGCCCGCACACCAGTTGGTCTGCACGGGAGTGGGCCGCTTGCGCAGAGGAAGGGTTCGGTGCCCAGTAAGGGGCGCCACGCGGACATTAGTTGGGATGCTGGCCGCACGAATCACAAGACACGTCCCGACAATTGAGCAGACCCACGCACCAGTTGGGATGCGGAGCCTGCGACAATGTGCACGTCGACATGCACAGCGAGACGGAAACCGGCGCGAACCCCCTCGAGACTGATTTTTTATCTCTATTTCTCTCTCTCTCTCTATCTCTCCCTATCTCTTTCACCCTCTCTCACCCTCTCACTGACCACCCTGCGCGAGCCTCCCGCCGCACAACCCATGCTTTCCCAGTGCTGCTCCCAATCCGGGACGGGCTCAACCCCAGCAAGCTGCGCACCGCACAGCCCGCATGCGCGGGCTGCCGGGCGGGGCATGCGCGCTTCTCTGGGACCGGTTGCTTCAGCTAGTCGCCAGATCGACACTTGGCCGAACGGCTTCGCCCTCCTCCTAAGTAGGTTATTTGGGGGCTGTTTGGGGGCCAAACTTGAGGCCATCTTGGTTGTTTTTGAGCTCTCCTCGGTGCGTTTGAGCCCAGCTTGAGCCATCCGAGAGTTCGGGGATTGTACATTTGGAGGCTCCCGAGGCTCTGAGGGTGCGTTTTGGAGCCCAGGAACCCCCGCTCTCTTTTTCGGTACGCGATGTTGGACCCTGGGGCAGGGGGAAAGGGTGACGGGGGACAACCAAATGTCTCACACGCCTTTTGACCCCAGGCAAGCGGGGGTCGGTGGATATGTACACATCTCTCGTCTCGCCCCCAATCCTTGACCCGGCACATCGGTTTGTTCGACGCTTGGGCCCACGGCCCTCTCGCAACCTTCCTTGGGGCCAGTTTTTCATCAGTAGTTTCGACGGTCTCGATGCCTCATGCTGGCTTCCAGGGGATGAACATTGCGACAAACTGGCCGCCTAGAGTTCTGTAGGCGCCATACGTTTAAGATATCATATCGGTGGTCGCGTTTTGCATGCAGCGAGCCTGCGTGTTCGCTCAGGCCACCGTGCTGTGGACAGCTCTGCCTGCTCCAGGCCGGCGTGTGTGGTGTCCCCGTCTTGCCTGACAATATTGTTGCTATGATAGTATTGAAGCCACCAATCTGTCTGTCTAGCCAGCTGCCTGCGGCAAAACTGCCAGAGCGCCAGGGAAGTACTCTGTGATGCGACGACCTGTGTGACACATCTCGCCTCCACTACATTAGGAGCTCTCACGGGGCTGACTCTCAGCGGGGCTTAATTGGGTCGTGTTGGCGTTGTTTGGGGCTCCCGTGGGGCAGTCGTGGGGTTCCTTGGGGCTCTCCTCGGCCGTCTCGGGACCCTCTTGGGCTGTACCGGGGCCCTCTTGGGACCGTCTGGGAGCAATCCTGGCCGTCCGAGGGTCTCTTGGGTCTTTCTGTGGGCAATATTTGAGCACTACCTGGCCGTCCGAGGGTCCCTCCAGAGGCACTCGGGCCAGCCTGGGGCTCTCTTGAGGCCATCTTCGGCCGTCTAGGGGCCCTCTTGGGGCTCTCAGTGGGCCCTCTGTGGCTGCTCGTCCCGCAGGAGAAGTCTAAGCAACGAACCCCTCCGAGCAGGACAAGGTCAAGGATGGAAGAACCACCCGGACCCGACAATTGGCGTTCACTAACGCCCTTGGGCGTTTACTAAACAGCCTTGCCCTGCTCGATTCCTTCTTTGGGCGCGTCTACTAAACGACTTCGCTTGTCGGGGTGGTTCTTATGGGGGTGGATCAATTACTTGCTCAACTTGAGGCTGTCCTCTCCACTGCTCGTGCAAACATCCCACCCTCCCACTCGCAACTTGCTCGCAAGACCTCTTAAGACCGTAACGGTGGGTACCAAATGGCACTTGGCAACGACACCGACGCCGACGACGACAGAGACAACGACGACGACGACGACGCCGCCGACAACGACTACGACGACACCGACGACGACTTCGACGACGACAACGACCACGACGACGACGCCGACGCCGACGACGACGGTGAAAAAAGCGACGACGATGACGCCGACGACGACGACGAAGACGACGACGACGACGACGACGAGGACGACGACGACGACGTCGCCAACGAAGACGACGACGACGAGGGAGGAGGGAGGGCAACAACGGCGACAAGGACGACAACGACGAGGGAGGAGGGAGGACGGCGACGACGCGAACGACGAAGAAGGAGGGAGGACGGCGACGCCGACGACGACAACGACGAGGGAGGAGGGAAGACGACGACGCCAAGACGACGACGACGGCGACGAAACAGGAGTGACAACGACGAAACGCCGACGAAGACGACGAGGGAGGCAGGACGATCACGGCGACAACGACGGAAACGACGACGACGCCAAGACGACGACGAGGAAAGACAGAGGACGGCGACGGCGACGACAGCGACGACGACGACCAGGGAGTAGGGACGACGGCGACGACGACGACGACGCAATAGCGCGCGCGCACACTTCTGTTGAAAATCAGTGTTACGAAGCCCTGTATTTTTTATTGTCTTTCGTACACTCGATTTTGAAATCCTTCCGACACCGTCGGTTTTTTTGTTGTCTAAGGATTTCGGCATGCGCGCGCGACAACGCGCGCGTGTGCACTTCGTCAATTGTTTTGCAGAAGATTCTCGCGACGTCACGCGCAATGGCGTTCGAAATATTTCGACATGCGCGCGCACGAAGCCCGTTTGGTATTGTTTGTTTTGACAATGTTGGAACATACGTTTTCTTCGTCCCAATGCTTTGCAGAACATTTTTGAGCACTTATGATTTATTGTAAACGAGTGTGCGCGCATAGTATGTTTTGCAGATGATGGCGGGGGGAGCCGATACCAATTTGGCTGGGATAGTATGAACCCACCAGTAGGATGGGCATTGGGTCAGAATCCAATGTGTTTTACATAGGGGGTCTTCAACCCCGGGGGGGAAGGTGGTAGAATTTATTTCCTTGCTAGAAAGGAGAATGCGTTGACCTCTACAAGGGGCGGACGGGGGGCCAGGATAAGAGGGGAGGAGGGGCGCACTGCCTCCTCCCTTTCCTCCTCCTGGATCCTTGTCCTGCTCCTCCCCCCCCTCCACCTGGAGGCCCCCCAAAACGGCCGCGCACGTTCCAGGACCTCGGCCATCCTCATGCCACCCCCGCCTTCCCCGGCCTCCCCCTGCCTACCTCCCCCCGCCCCCCTCTCTGGACGCGCGGGCCGTCAGGCCCGCGGACAAGTTGCCGCCCCCGTTTCGTCTCCCCTCTTGCCAAGGGCTCCCCCGAGGGCGCGAAGTTATTCGCGCTTCGCGCTTCGCGGTCCTCGTTTCTCCTCCCCCTCCTCCTCGTCCTCCTTTTGTCCCTTTGGGGGGGCGGCGCGAGAGCGCGAAGTTATTCGCGCTTCGCGGAGCGCGAAGCGCGAAGTTGGGAGCCCTAGCTTGCAGTCGCCCTCGTTCCCGCTTCCCCCCCCCCCTCGTGGATCCGCGCTGCGGGATGCCGCCCCGGAGCTCCGACGCCCGTGCTTCCGCTCGCAGAGTCGACCCCGAGAGGCCCCATACGGTAGGTTTGCGTCGTGTCGACCAGCGGCGACCCCAGCGCGGGCGTTCAAGGTTGAACGCCGCCGGCGACCCAGAATCGATCGATGTTGAACGATCGGACGTTGCGGCAGCGGCCGATCGTTCAAGGTTGAACGATCCCTGCGGTGTCAAAAACCAACGCTGGGGTCGGCACGACACGAACCTGCCGTAGGGGCCCGGCGAGGAGGGCCCCGCAGATCGAAGCTCGCCGGTGATCTCCTGTTGCTGTTTTTTCAACGGCACCGTAACGGGTACTTACTAACGGGTACTTTGAGATTTTGCCGAACGTTGCCACTTGAGGGCCTTTTTCTTGCATTGCAGCTTTGCCCACATCGGGAAGGGTTGGGTTCGCTGGGTCACTGGCCAAAGTACCCGTTAGTGGAGTCCCCGTTTGAGGGGCGCTGATTTTTGCCGTGCAGGGAGGAGAGGTGCCAAGACGTCCAAAGCGCCCCCCCGCTCTTGGTGGGCCCTGGAGACGACAGGGCCGTTTTGTTGCCGGTTCCGTTTTGCCGTTTTTCTGCCGGTTCCGACGCCGTTTTTTACCGGTTCCGTCGCCGTTTTTGACCGGTTCCGGCTCCGGTTCCGATCCTGGAGCCGTTTTCTTTGCCGTTTCCGGTGGCCGTTTTTTTGCCGTTTCCATTTTCAAGGGACATTTTTTTGGAAACGGTGGAAAAACGGCCCTGCCGTTTCCGGGGCCCACAAAGCCCCCGCCCCCCCCCGCAGCAGGCCACCACGCGCTCCCAACGGCGGCGGCGCCCAACGCCCACGAGTTCGCGGCTGGCACTCCGATGCCCTCCGTGCAGCAGACGCTGGACGAGATGGGCGCCTCCAGGGGGGGCGGGGGTAGACGGGATTGGGTCATGCCAGTCCGCCCGAACCCAGACCCTTCGGATCAACAAAAATCCCGAGGATTACCCGACCCCGTCTACACTTGAGGCGACTACTAATGTGAACGCCTCTTACAAAATGAGTAATTGCGACGCATGCAGCACTCGGGAAGGCGATACAAAGTCGGGCCCATGCACGTCGCGCACCTGCGCAACATGTAACGGGGGACACAACTGGAGGGGGAAGAGCTGGAGGAGGAAGAGTGAGAGGAGGGCAAGAAGGAATGCGAGGCAATAGGGAGCAAGGATGGTGAGAGTAACAGCGACATGCGCTACATCTGCTCGGTTCACCCGCGCTGCCGCTTCAGGTGGCGGGCGCCTGAGGACCTGAGGACAGCGTGTGATGCAACAGCGCCGCGTGCAGTGCTGACTGAGGTCAGCCACCCGGGGAGCAGAGCAGCGAGGTTTAGGTGCGTGTGGTCCCCGACTCCGCTGGACCTCCCAGGAGCCCACGAAGGCGGTGACAGTTGCGCAGTTCGCAGCCATCCAGGGTGCAGCGAGGTCTCGTCGGGGTGCGTGGCCCCCGACTCTGGTTGGATGTCCCAGGAGCCCACGAAGGCGGTGAAACTTGCGCAGGTCGCAGCTTCCCCGTCTGCAGCAAGCTCGTCTGTGTGCGCGTGGCCCCTGACTCCGCTGGACCTCCCAGGAGCCCACGAGAGCGCTGATCGTTGCGCCGTTGGCAGCCACCCAGCGTGCAGCGAAGTCACGTCTTGGCGCGCGCGGCTCCCGAGTCCACTTTACCGCCAAGGGCCCACGAGAGTGGCGACGGTTGCGCAGTTCGCAGCTTCCCAGAGAGCAACGCGCGAGGAGTCGGGAAGAGGGGGGAGGAGGAGAGGAGCGGTGAGAAGTGGAGACCACGTTTGTTGTGTGTTTGTTTCTCCTCTGTTTCCGAAGCGAGAATCCCAAACAGGAAGGTTGGGAACAACTATTTATTGGCGGGAGCTTGTTTGTAGCGTTTGTATGCCTGTAAGTTTTCGCTGGGCTTCTGGAATGTCAAACACCTGCTCACGATGAAGAAGCTTGTCCTGGGGAACAGGGGTCCAGAACCCTGGGGGGGCCCAGCCTTGGAACATCTTGATATCGGAGTTTTGGGAGCGGAGCCCTTTCGTGACATTTTGTTGTTGAACTCGCACTCTTGAAGAATAGTCGCTGCTAATCCCCTTTACCGGTGCACAAATCGTTTTTCAGGGCTCGCACCCTGGTTTTTATCATGAGAAGTGTTCCTGCTCAAACTGCGGTGCTGCCCCCCCTGGCTACAACAACGGCTCCCGCATACTTTTCCACAGACTGTCTCCCTAAATCGCGGTATCGCGCGGGATATTTGATCTGCATTTGCGCAGGGCTCGCGCGTTCGCGTTGGACTCCTCGCCATTCATTCAAGCGCCGCTCTTTCGACACCCAGGAATCACGCTCTGGCGTTGGCTTCTCTCACGATTTACTTGGAAGTCGCGCCATCGCTCGACACTTCCTCGCGACTCATGCAGTACGCACGCTTCAGCAGCCGCCTGCTCGACCTGGCCGCTTGGGCCCGCCTTTCCGACCCGCCCGCTAGGGTCTGCCCGCCCGATTTGCTCGTCTGATTCTGCCACCTGTTGCCTGTTCCTGGTCGCCCTCCTCATTTCTCTTTTGCTCTATCCTTGTCCTTCCCCCTTCCTTGCGTCCTCTCTCCCCCGGTAAACATAGCATTGTTCAGTTAAAGTGTTTCTCACGGGGCATGCACGCTGTTTTTGGCAAGGGGAGGTCAGGTGTCACTAAGCTGCGCCGTTGCCCCCCCGACTTGCAACAACAACGGCTCCCGTCTGAGACCTCCTCCCTTTGTATTCCTAGACCGTGCTCTTGCGCGGGAGTTCCTCACAATTAAAGCAGAAATCAGACGCCGCGCCCTCGACACTCAGGATTCACGCTCTGGCTGTGGATCTCCTCACGATTGATTTGGGAATCGCGTTATCGCTCGACACTTCCTTGCGATTCATGCAGGACGCACGCTTCAGCAACCCGCCTGCTCGACCTTGCCGCCTGGGCCCACCTTCCCGACCCACCTGTTAGAGTCTACCCGCCCGATCTGCCCGTCTGGTTGTGCCACGTGTTGTCTGCTCCTAGCCCTCCTCCTGCTACTCTTCTCTCTCGTGTTCCATCCTCCTCCCCCTTGTCCCTTCGTTTCATCCGTCCTCTCTTCCCCTGCCTTCGGGGCTGCACGAAGTACCCGTTGCAGGTAAGAAATATATACCCCTAAGGGGGTACGATCAGAGACAAGGGTCGGTATCGAGGGTTTGGGATTTACGTTTTGAATCTCACGCGAGCAGGTAAGAGCGAAAAGTCTTAAACTGATTGTTGTCGTTGCTGTTGTTGTTGTCTGTCTGTCTGTCTGTCTGTCTGTCTGTCTGTCTGTCTGTCTGTCTGTCTGTCTGTCTGTCTGTCTGTCTGTCTGTCTGTCTGTCTGTTTGCATGTCTGTCTGCCTGTCTACCTGTCTGTCTGTCTGTCTCTGTCTGTCTGTCTGTCTGTCTGTGTCTGTTTGTTTGGTTTGTTTCCATCCTTTTTGAGACTCTTGGAGGCGTAAGTCACCACGGCCAAATCCGCTTCGAAATATGGGTCAGGATGTGCCCCGGGAGGATCCAGTGACAAATGTTGGGCGGCTTTGGACCGTTTTCACATTGGCCCCTGTTGAGAGACGGAGTGCCTCTGAGTGGCCTTCTCTTCCCCTCCCCCCTGCGGCCGCCCCCTCTGCCTTCTTCCCACTCTTGCATGGTGGCCGATTCGCTCTTCCGTTTCCTAGCACTATCGTTGGTGCAGCCGACTCTGCCTCGCCGCGGACGAAACAGTTCAGAGGCGGAGTAGGTTACCAGCCTCGAACGTATCCTTATCCCTAAGATTGACACGCCATAAGGCGATGACAATCTTGGGGATTCGCCCTCAAAAAATAAGGGAATCCCTAAGATTGGCATCGTGATGAGGAGATGCCCAGCATAGGGATAGTGATATGTTCCTGGCTGGTAAGTAGGAGCATCGCGCCGCGTCGCTGATGCATCGGCGGTGCGGCGCGATCCGAGGCCCCACGTTCCCCCTGTAGGGGCCGCCGATGCACTGTCGGTGTGCGGGCCCTGCGCTGGGACGCGCCGACCTCCTTTGCTTTCTTAGAGGGCGTCACAAAAAAAACACAAACAACAATAAAAACATCTTTGAGGGCGTGACAGTTTCTACAGTCCCTCGACCCGCGCTGTAGTGTCCATGACTTGATCCAGCTTTCGCTGGGGATCTGTGGCGTTGTCTGGATGTATCCGGATTTACCCTGCTTCTTACGGATGTGTCTAGACTTATCTGGGTTAGAGACAATGTTTTTATCCGACCAAAGGATAACACGTGTTACCCCCCCGTGCCCCCGTAATGGTATCGCCCCGGACCAGTGCAGCGCGCGATCGCGGGCAATGTGAGGTTTGTGGCGCATGCAGGCACTACTAGTGCCGCGGTGAACGCGGGCGTGCAGTATGTTGTACGCAGGCTCTGCGGTGTACACGGGCGTTTTGGCGCACACATCTGGCGCTGCAGCAGCAGATATGGTTTACACAGGCATAGTGGGTGTACGTCAGCATTGTGTGCCACAAGCCCTGTGATGTACACAGGCGCCGTGATGTACACAATCGCTGTAGCGCGCAAAGTCGCTATGATGTAAGCATGCGTTGTGGGCTATACTGTACTCACGCATCTCTTCCTACACTGTTTCTCCTCCTCTTTTTCCATGTTCGTCCTCGTCGTCGTCTTCCTTGCGCGTAAAGGACGCGGGCATTGTGGTGTACACAAGCACCGTGGTGTTCACTGGCCTTGCGGTACACACAAGCGTTGTGTTCCACCTTCGTTGTGGACTCAACATGCCCAGGCGTTCTTAGGGCCAGGAAAGTACATCACATATCACAGATCGGATCTGATACATTCGGACCCCTGCGATTTCCCGGACGCTGGCCCCGTCGGGGCCGTAAACGTTTACATAAGTTCTGTCGTAAACGCAGGCGCAGTGGTACACGCGGAAGGGTGTTGAAACAGCAGTTGTGGTGTCAATAGTCGTAAGCGATGCAGTGCCGGCTGCCGTGGTGTACGCAAGCGCTGCGCTGTACATGGGCGTTTTTTTCATGCTGAGAAGTTTGGTTGCCATCATGGCGTGCATCTTGGCAGTGCTCCTGGAGAAAGAACGCGGGCCCCGAGCTGTCGACCCCATCGTGGGTTCCTTTGCTCCTCCTGTTCATGCCGGTGCTGCTGTTCCTCTTGCTTCTCACGCGTGTATTCCCTCGGCTGACGCTGCTCCGCGCGCCCCCAAGCCGCGTGGTGTTTACGGGCGCCGTGGTGCGCGCAGTTGCCATGACGTGAGCAGTCGCTAAGGCGTGCACAGGCGATGTGGGCCCAACGTATCCGAGCGTTGTTTGGGCCAGATCGTATTCACAATTAGTTCAGATATTGGATTTGATACGTTCGGGCCCCGAGTGATGTTCCAGAGTGTGGTTCCGTCTGTACCTTCCGGTGTACACAAACTTCGTGGTGTACGCGGGCGTGGTGCACAAAGGGGGTGCTGAAACAGCAGCGGTGGTGCACACGGGCGCCGTGGTGTGCACAAGCAGTGTGATGTGTACAGTCGCCGTGGTGTACACACGCACACCATTTTTGTAGCAGCCTTGGCGCACAAAGAGCATTGTGATGTACAGAACCCGCGCTGTGTGTGCACAGGCGCTGTTGGCTTGGACGGCGACGACGGCAACGACGACGACGACGTAGGCGGCGCGTTTCGGGGGTTGCGCGCCGCGGATCCTGTTCCCCCGCCCCCCCACAAGGTAACACGTTACTTGTCAGGAATATAATTCTTTACGCTTCGCGTATCCCCACCAGCCCATCTCACAGCAGCAACTCTTGCGAAGCATGCCGACGTCGTGTTTTTCAGGCGTGTGTCCGCT